GGGAGAAGCCCGTCCGGCTGCCCCAGCACTTCCGGGTTCCTGATGGTGCCAGACCATCAGGAGTCCCGGAGCATTGGATGCCGGACTAATGGAGTTTTACTGTATTTTGGTTAGTCTCTAAGGTGCCACAGGACAACTTGTTTTTTAAATTACAGACTTAACACAGCTACTCTTCTGAGATCTTTTTATAGTGAATATGTTTAATAAATTCTAAGGTTTGAAGACCAAAGTCAGTTTGTGTTGCTGTACTAAAGCACCTACCGTACTGGAGAAAAAAATCATGTATACAGAATATTGGATGTTCTTGCTTGTTTCAGGATTGACAGTTAATCTGTTTGGTTTTTAATTGTATGTTTAAATTGTACTAGTCTGTGGATCTTTGAATGGAAGCATATTGAAATATAAATAACCCAGGTTAATCCCAAAATGTAGGGAATTTCCCCTGATTATTTTAAGTGATGGGAATAATTTATTGTTCATAATTTTTAGCTGCTTTTGAAATGGACAAAGGCATTTCTTTGTTTAGTAATTTTGAGTGCTGGTCTTTTAGCACATTAGGGGCCCAATTGTGCATTGGTAGTGTGCATCTTCAACTTCCATTTACCTTCATGGGAGTTCAGCACCACTGGGCATGCTCATCACCTAATAGGACGGAGCCAAAATGGATTTAGGTATAGTATGCTTCCAAAGCACTATTGGGAGTGTCTTTGAGATACTCCTATTCAAAGCAAGATGGTACATTGTGCAGATTATGCCCATGACTTCCAACTAGAGAGTCCATGTTGCAGTGAATATGGCCAGCACTGAGCCATGAACCTTCTATGTAATACAGAAAGCCTCTATATTTTGTGCAGTGATTGCCTGAATAATTTAGTTGTTCACCAAAACAAATGTGACTGTTCTCATGTAGACCTCTATTTCATTTCTCACTCTGACTGCATTGTTCAGACAATACTTTCTGATTATTGATGAGGTGAAACTATAGTAAAAGTTGACTTCAGCCTTTTGTCCAATGGTAGGTTAAAACAAACACTTTTCTTACCACACTGAGGCTATATCTACACTGGTGGGTTGTTGCGCCATACGTATGCAAATGAGGCTATGCGTGGAATATCGCTGAGCCTCATTTGCTTACCTAATGAGCCACCATTTTTGTGGAAGAGGCTCTTGTGCAAGAAGGAGCTGTCTACACTGCCCTTTCTTGCGCAAGAAAAACCCTCTTGCGCAATGCCGTTATTCCTGAAAATAATCAGCCTAGCGGCATTGCGCAAGAGGGTTTTTCTTGCGCAAGAAAGGGCAGTGTAGACAGCTCCTTCTTGCACAAGAGCCTCTTCCACAAAAATGGTGGCTCATTAGGTATGCAAATGAGGCTTGGCGATATTCCACGCTTAGCCTCATTTACATACTTCTGGCGCAACAACCTGCCAGTGTACACATAGCTTGAGTCAGTATGCTTATTATGGCCACAAATACGAGTCTTATTTCTGGCGTTCAGTAAATAACTGTTACCAGGCAGTGGCATATCAGTTGTGCTTTTAAGTCCTTTATCTTATCCTGATTACTTCTGGAATCTGCTTTCAGTCTTTATTTCATTATACTGTTCTAAGTTATATTCTGTTATGTACTGTCACATTTTTATGACCTATTGAGCATAGTACTCTACTGTTGTGGCTGATGAACCAACAGTTTTCCTTCCATTTATTATAGACTATGCCAGCCTTTAAAAGTCCACTGTCCTTTTTATTGAAGACAAGCATCTTAATGTTTTAATAAGACATGGAGCAAGCACATGTGACACTGCCTTGGAAGCACATTTGCAATTAAAGACCAATGGAGATGGATGAAAGTTTGATTAGGGAATGAAAATTTCCATAAGAGGAGAGATATGGACATGAAAAGAAGGTAGAGCAACGGTATATAGAGAAGAAAAAGTGAATGATAAAAGCAAAGGGTAAACAACTTTACTTCATTTTTTTAAAATTGCAAAATACCCATGTTTTAGATTTCTACATTAAAAAAAATATTTTCTTCTAGAACATTCTCTCTCTCTCTCTGCCCCTCTATCCCCTCCTTCAAAAAAACCCCAATTCTTGAAGGCTTTGCCTAATCAATCATTTGGATAAGAAAATAATGTGCAATCACGTTAGAGTTCAGGATTGTTGTAATCTAAAAGCTTTTCTGATGCTTGTCTCTTTCCTAGGGTTGCCAGATAGTTTCACAAAAAATACCGAACATGGCGGGGAAAAAATTGGTTGAGCAAAAAACAAAAAAGGGGGGGGAAGGGACCAAAGTTGTTGAGCAAAAAAAAAATTGTACAAAAAAAAAGTGTCACAGCCCCTTTAAATCCCCAAGCTCCTCTTGCAGCAGTGGAAGAATGCCCCATGTGGCCTTCCATCCAAGAAAAACTGAAAAATTTCTGGTTTTTTTTTTTTTTTACTGGACAGAAGCCAAAAATTCCGGACTCTAACAGAAGCCAATACCGGACACCTGGCAATCCTACTCCTTCCCTATGCTTTAAAACTGAGAATATGGGTAAGGAATTGGAGTTTTAGATAATATTCATTGTCATCAGCAAGACACAAAGGAAGAACAAATAATGTATAGAACTAATGACCCCAGCACTGGCTCTGGTATAAAGTGTGGAGCTGTAGTGTAAAGTGTATTTTTCAGCAATAGAATTGCATAGGTCCATGCTACAGAAGACTAACATGCGGATTCCTTGACACATTGGAGGAGTAGTTACTGATCATGTTTTGTTCCTCTGTAGAATGAAAGGAGAACAGCAGTTTTTGGTGTAAGGCTCTGGTGTCCTATTGAATTTATCTGTATCAAAATCTTCTGGTCTGTATCTTTCCACAGGAGAATGTTCATGTGTCAGTGGAAAGAGTTAAAAAAAAGTCTATTATGTCAGCAAACCGCCTTTCCTGACACTATTAGATTCAATATGTGAGTTGTCCTCTGACCAGATGGGAGTTTGGCTTTTCCAGGGTGGGTAGCTACTTGTTCCACTATCTAATTGAAACATGGGACTTAACTAAAATGCAGCATCCTATGTTTTCAATCTTCAGTAGTATAAAATTGCTAATGATACATATGAATAAAATTCTTGAATTTGGAGTTACTACATGTCATATTAATGTGCAAGGTTTGGTTTTTAGTTCTCAGACTTATAGATGTTATTCTTGAGTTAGAGTATCCTTGAGAAATTCACCAAAATGAATTTACAAGTATTCAACTGACTTGAATTTGCTAGTAAAACTGGGTCTGGTTAGTGGTTTTTTTATTCTTATATGTTCACAGAATATACTAAATCCACCAATAATGTTTGATGATATCAGATGCAAGGTTGGCTCAGGTGAAACTAAGTGGGTGCACAGCTCTAGCAAGAGCTGCAACAAAATTTAAAGAGCTGGCAGGGACCTGGATTACAGTAGGATAGTACCTGTAAGAAATTTTAAGTTACTTTCACAGCTGGCTGGGCTACACATAGTTGCCGTAATACAAGTTGGAAGCTGATTTGCCATGGCAGGTATTGTTTAAAGGCTAACACAGCTACATTCAGAATGAAAAATGATGGCTCAGGAGCCCCTTTGTGGGCAAAAAAGCACTCTCATAGATGCCAAAGACTGTTGGATTTTGTTTTACTGTGCTTTTCTCACTCTTGACTTCCCAACTCTCATCTTTTTTTCTTTCAGATCAGGTTATTTAAAGGGCTGTTTTCTCTGAAAATTAATAGTAAAAATGGCATTGTGGATTCTTAATTTATTGTTTCTTAATGAGACTGTAACTACTAATTCTGCTTACTTTGAGTGAGAAAGTGAGTTTTCTAGACAATTGATACCAGTTCAGGATTTGGTCCTGACTCGCCAAAGGTTTGTTAGTATAGTCAGGGCCTATTATCAGTTTGGTTTCAAATGAGAGAGCAGGAACCCACTTTGCTATAAAGGTTGCATATCTCAAACATGGACAAGTTTTGACTGTCTCACTGAATATAAATAGTTCTCAAATAAATGTGAGCAATTAAAAATATTGCCATGTGTTTGTGCCTCTCTTGTAATGGTTATTCCTGTGCAGGTGTTTTTAGTCTTTTTTTTTCCCCTACCTGATAATCTTTTAAATGAATTTTTTGGTTAAAGTGGACTGTTATTTTGTGCTCTGCCCTGTCTTGACATAGACTTTAAGGTCTTTCGGGCAGGGACTGTTTCTTTGTTATGTTTATATGGAGCACAATAGAGTGTTGGCTTATAGGTACAATACAAATAACTAATAATAAAACATAGCTATAAAGCACTCCATTATTCAAGTATGTCTGGAATTAGCTATTCTTGTTCTTATTCTTATTTCTTGGTGACATGATATTTTTAAGAAGCTGGTCCTACAATTGACAGGTACCTTTTTCCTCCCTTTTTTTTCTGTTATACATTCTGGATTCCTGTTATTTCTACTCCAGCTCATCTGATGAAGTGGGTTTTGCCCATGAAAGCTCATGATACTATATATATTTTTGTTAATCTCTAAGGCTATGGCTACACTTCCAGAAAAAGCTTGCAGTGTAGCCGTAGTACAAGGTGCCACATGGCTACTCGTTGTTTGTTTGAGGATTACTTCCAGCCTGGTTATAACAGTTTTTAAGTATGTCATGTTTGGGGTTTGAGCTGATGTTCCTTAATCTACATTTTACAAGCAATCTGTTGTTGAACCATATGCAACTTTATATACAGTGCCTCAATGATGGAATTCTGTAGAGTCAGTACAGATTAATTGACAGATTTTCTTTTATTAGAAAGTAATCTTGCTTTGATTTTCAGCACATATAAAATATTGTATCTAGTGGCCTGATCCCATGCTTTCTGAAGTCAGTGAAGATTTTCCCATTGATTTTCCCTGGGCATCAGATTGGGCCCTAAAACTTTAATGTTCTTTAATGTTACTTTCTTTTCTAGAAAAGGGGCCAATCATAATTTTTAAATATTGTTTTGCAGGCCACATGTTGATGAAGCCACACTTTTGTTCCCAGTTGTTAAATGTATAAAAGGTAAGGATCCTGGATGTAACTTTTCTTTTTAGCAGAATATAAAAATTTGAATGTGAAGTGGGGATAGAAATATGCTGTGCTCCAGTGTTCTGGTGCTTTCAGCATTATCCAGTCTTAGTTCTGCAATGCAGTCCTAGCATTAGATTCTAGCCATACAGTAAGTCAACTACTCAATGTGTGTTAAGTGTGAGAATCAGACCTTCTAGGATCAAGGCCTAAGACTATAACATTGCTCTGTGTCTTCTGTATTTGGAAAGTGTTTAGCAAAGTGGGTGCAACTGCACTTTTAATAGTACTTCAGTACATAAGGGTAGCCTGAGAATATCAATTAGGTAACTTTAGAAATTAATGTTTGGGTTATTGGCCATTAAATGGTACAGAAGATCCAGTGTATATTGAGAGAACTTGCAGAATATTGAACTGTAGATCAGATCTTTATTCTACTCAAGAAAAAACAATTATCCATAGACTTCATCCCCTAGGATAAAAAGAGGATTTTGGTGGTGTAGTGTAAGGATGTAAAATTGTGGTTATCTGACTAATCATGTAGTCGATACAACTTGTACCAACTACACGATTAGTCGATAAAGTCTGCTCTGCAGAGCCACACTGGGGGTAGCTCCCGGAGCCAGCTCGAGCTGGGACTGAGCAGTCCTGCTCATGCAGGCTCCAGGAGTCACCCTTGCTGTGGCTCTGCATTTTAAATGCAGCTCCACCCCCACCATCTCTCCTGCAGGGCTGGAACACAAAAAGATGTACTAGCCTGCCCCTCCCTCAAGGCTGTGGTGTGCAAGGGGATTGTGGGGAGTGTCTCTCTCTTTCTCAGTGTGGAGCCACATCAGCGAAGGGTTGTGGAATCTCCATCACTGGAGATATTAAAGAGCAGGTTAAACAGACACCTGTCAAGGATGATCTAGACAGTGCTTGGTCCTGCCGTGAGGGCAGGGGACTGGACTTGATGACCTCTCGAGGTTCCTTCTAATTCTATGGTTGTATGACTACTTGCTGTCATCCCTAGTGAAGTGTAAAAATAAGGATATTCAATTGTCTCAGGTAAAAGACTTCATTAAATTGGAGATGAGGCTGAAATTAATACCTATATGTCAGGGATGGATGGGAGGAGTACAGTTGAAGTTTAGATACTCTTAATTAAAAAAAAAGTAACAATTTCAATTATTTTCCCAATATTGTGCTCCTGGGTATATTCTGTATGTAAGATTACCATGTGTTAAACACAATGAGATGATATCTCAATTTCTGTATACAGTGGCATTTTAGCCATTAATCCATGATAATGGGAAGAATTTAAACACTGTGACCCTGATTCTCCACTACATCCATGCTATGCTCAGATGTAGTGAAGAGTAAAAGCCCATGGGAAGCCAATTATAGTTCCCTGATCATTGGTTGCTGGATGGAAGTTAGAACAGGAAGGGATGGTCAGCAAAGACTTCCACTGCTAGTGTAAGGTCTTACAGTAGTGAAAGATCAGAAGTAGAAGAGCTCTGCTCCACCACAACCCTGCTGTCCCCCCAGAAATCCTTATGTTAGGTGTGGGAAAAGATTGGTGCAGAAGCAAGCAGAGCTATCTTTGCTAGATTTCTGCCAGTAGAGAGTCTCTCTATGAAGTAATTTTCTACCAGCATTCTCTGGCCACTTTGTGCCACTGTGTATCCTTTGGTAGTTTATAGCCACAGATTGTAGACTTATATTCGCTGACATCCTCTGTGGAATACATAGCAGTATATAATCTTTGTCTAGTATTCTACCTCCACAGACTTATAATAATATAAAATAACAATTGATTTGACTTTGGTACTGTTTCATTGATTCTTGGAGAAAGAATAACATTTGGCAACTAATCACAGAATTATTTAACTTAGAGGCATTTCTAGGGCATATGATAAAGATTTTTCCCTTTTATCAGAGATCTGGCAAAATACTATATGTCTTGCTCTTTATACACATAATATGTGTGTGCGCGCGCAGCTTTGTACTACATATGCATTTGAAACCCACAAACTTCTCTTTTATCTTACTATATATTTTAGAAATGTCTGTCCATCTGCCTGTGAGTCCATTTGTTCTAGAACTCCTCTTAAATGGTAAGAGCTAGGACTCCCAAATTTGGAAGGCAGCTTCCTCTTATAGTTTAAAGCAAGGTCAGGGTTTGGTTGTGCCCGGACAGTGGAATGTGTGTGGAATGCAATTGTTTCATATTAAATGGAAAGGGAGGAGTGTGACAGAAGGGGCGGTTATACTTATGAATGATCATAGTGGGGCAGCAATCATAGAGGACAGTTATTTTCAGGAATGACCATAGGGGGCACCAAGCACCACAATCCTATGAAGCAGCCATTGTCTGTCAGTGCACCACACTGGCCTGCCATGGAAAGCAACTGCTGGCCGCCACGCAGCACTCGCTGCCCCTGGGCAACTGTGCACCTGCCCCCCCAACCCTTCAGAAAGAAACTATCAGGTGAGCTGCATGCCCCCCACCCCAAGCCAGACCAAGGGAGAAGCTGGCGATGTTACACTGAGGATGCTTAAGCCTAAATTTGCAATCTGATTACTACTAATTAATTAATTAATTAATTAAACCTCAGCGGAAGTTGCAGATACCACCAAACCTCATCTATCATAGGTGTTTGTTGATTAACATGCCGCAGAGAAATAAAAACGTTACGCAATTTAAAGGGGCCAAACCATATATTGTAAGCATTTAAAAGGTACAACAAGGAAATAGGTAAACACTCTTAATATCCCCAACCCAAGAAGCAATAGGAGGATAGAAAAGTACCCCACAGACACAAGGTATCACACAGACAATAATTACAATTCCAGTTGTCGACGATGGACGGTGATGCACCTGTCTCTCAAGCCTTTGGCTAATTAAAGCCTCTCCTCGCAGCAATGCCCTCTGCGGTGCTCTCGACCTCAAGCTGTAGGCTCCTTCCTCTGGAGAGGAACAGAGAGGCGGTCCCTCGTAGATCCTGGGGACAGGTGGAATGCAGGCAGGTAGTGAAGTCCTCCTCCGGGGCCTTCCGCTCCTGGACGCAGGATTCACTGCTGGTAAGTTGCCTGGCGCTGGCCTTCGGGTTGATTCCGCTCTTCAGCTGGAACTGGCGATAGACGAGCTACTCCTGTACCCAGACTGGATACACAAAATCCCTAACTAAACTAACACGATGCCTCCCGTTGCGATATAATACCCTGGCCGCTTGAGCGTAGAACCGACGCACTATACTAACGGACAGACTCGATGACGAACCTCTAACTAACCTAGCTACCTAATGAACAAGGACAGGGGACAGGGTGGAACGCTACAGAAGCAAAGAAGCGAACAGAGCGGGAATGCTGACCAGAACCTAAGTGGTCTCTCTCCATGAATATTTATGAGCTGTAGCTTTAAACTCATTGGACCTCGTCTGGGTAAACAAGGGCCTCTGATTGGGTGTCTGAATAAACAGCTTCTAACAGTCTGGGGTGAGTGTACTGTGTGCAGCAGCACATGGTGACATGTGCAGCTACTTGCGTGCCGTGTGCAGCAGCACATGGTGATGTGTGCAGCAGAAGCTAGAACCATCTGTGTAAATATTCATAGTGGTTATTGCTTATTCAGTGTCACTGCTCACGCATATTAATGAGAAGGCGGGGACCCCGTTACAGCGAGTGGACCCCCTCACCACTCCAGCCTAGGAGAGAAGCTGCTGGCCAGCCCCACCCATGAGCCCCCCCAC